TATTGGGACTTCATCAAGATAAAAAGCTTTTGCACAGCAAAAGAAACAGTCCACAAAACCAAAAGACAATCGACAGAATGGGAGAAGATATTTGCAAATGACATATCAGATAAAGGGCTAGTATCCAAAATCTATAAAGAACTTCTTAAACTCAACACCCAAAGAACAAATGATCCAATCAAGAAATGGGCAGAAGACACGAACAGACATTTTTGCAAAGAAGACATCCAAAAGGCCAACAGACACATGAAAAAGTGCTCAACATCACTCAGCATCAGGGAAATCCAAATCAAAACGTCAATGAGATACCACCTCACACCAGTCAGAACGGCTAAAATTAACGAATCAGGAAACGACAAATGTTGGCGAGGATACGGAGAAAGGGGAACCCTCCTACACTGTTGATGGGAATGCAAGCCGGTGCAGCCACTCTGGTAAACAGTATGGAGGTTCCTCAAAAAGTTGAAAATAGAGCTACCATATGACCCAGCAATTGCACTACTGGGTATTTACCCCAAAGATACAAACGTAGTGATCCGAAAGGGTATGTGCACCCCAATGTTTATAGCAGCAATGTCCACAATAGCCAAACTATGGAAAGAGCCAAGATGTCCATCAACATGGACATGAATGGATAAAGAAGATGTGGTATAGATATACAATGGAATATTATGTAGCCATCAAAAAAAAAAGAAATCTTGCCATTTGCAACAATGTGGATGGAACTAGAGGGTATTATGTTAAGCGAAATAAGTCAATCAGAGAAAGACATGTATCATATGATCTCACTGATATGAGGAATTCTTAATCTCAGGAAATAAACTGAGGGTTGCTGGAGTGGAGGGGGGTGGGAGGGATGCGATGGCTGGGTGATAGACATTGGGGAGGGTATGTGCTATGGTGAGCGCTGTGAATTGTGTAAGACTGATGAATCACAGACCTGTACCTCTGAAATAAATAATATATTATATGTTAAAAAAAAAAGATAGTAGGAAGGGGAAAATGAAGGGGGGAATCGGAGGGGGAGACAAACATGAGAGACTATGGACTCTGAGAAACAAACTGAGGGTTCCAGAGGGGAGGGGGTTGGGGGGATGGGTTAGCCTGGTGATGGGTATTAAAGAGGGCATGTATTGAATGGAGCACTGAGTGATATACACAAATCATGGAACACTACATCAAAACTAATGATGTAATGTATGGTGATTAACATAACATAATAAAATTTAAAAAAAAATAAAAATAAAAATAAAAGAAGAAAGAATTCTGCCTCAAAACTGTAACATAGAAACCCTGCCTGAGTTGCTAGCCTGCTGACAGGCCCTATGAATTTTGGACTCAAGACTGAAACATCAACTCTTACATGAATTTCCAGCCTGCTAGCCTGCTCTGCAGATTTCAGACTTGCCAGCCCCTGTAATTGCATAAGCCAAGTCCTTAAAATTAATCTTTCAGTTTTGTTTTTCTGTAGAACCCTGACTGATACAGAGGACAGAGCATGGAGACACAGAGAATTGTTCTCAAGCCTTAAAACCTAATGGAACTTTTTCTGCTAAGATGCAAACTTGCTTTAGACCAGTGACCCTTTTTCCTTCCAATTTCCCCCTTTTTGAAGAGGAATATCTATTCTATATCTGTCCTGCTGTTTTATCTTGGAAGCAGATGACTCACTTTCTGGTCTTCACAGGTCCACAAATGGAGAGGAATTTTGCCCCTGAGGGCAAATACCCCAACCCTTTAACTGATTTAGATAGCATTTGGACTTAGAATTGACACTAGAATGGTTAAGACTGTGGAGGATATTAGGATTGGGTGGATGTATTTTTTACATGGGAAGGACATAACTTAGGGGAGGATCAGAAGTAGACTGCTATGGGTGGAACTGTGTCCCTCAAAAAAAAAAAAAAAAAATACATTTAAGTCCTAAGCTCCAATATCTCATTATGTGACCTTATTTGGAAATAGGGCCAATGCAGATATAGTTAAGATAAGGTTATGCTGGAGTACGGTGGACTCTTAATCCAGTGTGACAGGTATCCTTATAAGAAGATGGCCAGGTGGGCGCCTGGGTGGCTCAGTCGGTTAAGCGACTGCCTTCGGCTCAGGTCATGATCCTGGAGTCCCGGGATCGAGTCCCGCATCGGGCTCCCTGCTCGGCAGGGAGTCTGCTTCTCCCTCTGACCCTCCTCCCTCTCATGCTCTCTGTCTCTCTCTCTCTCAAATAAATAAATAAAATCTTTAAAAAAAAAAAAAAAAAAAAGATGGCCAGGTGGGGGCGCCTGGGTGGTTCAGTCGTTAAGCGTCTGCCTTCGGCTCAGGTCATGATCTCCAGGTCCTGGGATCGAGCCCCGCATCGGGCTCCCTGCTCAGCGGGGAGTCTGCTTCTCCCCCCCGCCCCGCCTCTCCCCACTGCTCCTACTCTCTCTCTCTCTCTGTATCTCTCTGTCTCAAATAAATAAATTAAAAAAAAAAAAAATTCTAAAAAAAAAAAAAAAAAAGAAGACGGCCAGGTGAAGACATAGCAACACAGACAGAATGCCATGTGAAGACAGAGGCATAGATTGGAATCATGCTGCCACAGCCTGGGGCTGTCAGTAGACAGAAGAGGAAAGGACAGGATCGATCCTTTCCTAGAGGCTTCCAAGAAAGCACAGAGGAGTGAAAGCTCTCATTTCAGACCTCAGGTCTCCAGAACTGAGAGAGAATAAATTTCTGTTGTTTTTAGCCACCTACTTTGTGGTACTTTGTTATGGCAGCCCTAGGCAGTGCTCAATAAGGATTTATAGTCTACCAGGTAAAGTTTTATATAAATTCATATGATTCTCATACTAAACAAGTGAAGGAACACTATTACTATTGTTATAACCCCCATTTATAACTCACTTAACAGAGGCTCTTACAGGTCATGTGATTTACCCATGATTTGCAAAACAACTTACCTGTGATGCTGAGGCTCTGAGCAGTTTTTCCAACACCTACGCTTTACAGCATTGAAAACATTGGTACTCTCTGTTTATCTTTTAGAGAGATCTGGTATGTGTGTGTGCGTGTGTGCATGTGCACATGCGTGCACTATCTATAGGTAACTGCCAAAGGGCCTTAGTGGATTTTTCAGCAATTCATGGGAGTACATCTGATAATGGGCTAAAGGAACAAAGACTGACTTTTTGATGGTAACTTGATTTGCATATTTCCAAAGGAAAACTGAGAAGGTGAATATCCAATGGACACAGTGAATGAGAACAGCACCTACATTTTAATATGTGCAAGCCTGGTTCTGAGTATCTAATAATAAAAGATGAAGAGAAAAGTCTACTAAAAACATGATAAGAAATCTATACATACTCCACTTTAAAAGAACCACTGTCTTCATTGACAGGGTCTCAAAACTTAATTTTTTAAATCAGCCTAAGTCAAATAATTGTTTTATCTCTGGATGGCATGCAGATCGCTTCAAAATTTAAATGAAGATAATTCATATTTATCTGCATATTTTTATTTTACTCATTTTTACATTTCTTTAATTAGTGAAACTACAGCCACTTAAACACTGTTATAAATTATGAACATGTAGGCATGGTTTCAGTGTGTATCAAACTGAGTATTGGCAACACTCTCTTCTCTAACCTTGAGAACTTAAATATACCTAAGCAAGTCCATACACAGAAAGAAGGATGAGACTACATGCACTATAATAAATGGACACACAAATTTTAGCAATGCCAAGGGTGAATCTGGAAAATATCACTAGAGAATTATACCTTAAATGCCAGTGCTTATTTAGCTACACCTCCAAATAAAAATGTATTAAGGCATAAATATGATTTCCCATTCAAAAACAGTAGGAACATGACTGATAAACCATTAATTGTATTGTCCCCCAGTAAATAGAGACTTTAGTTTTAGTCCCAGCTCTCCCAAAAGTTGTTACTTTCCCTCTCTGGACTCAGCTCTTCAAGGTTCCTGCTAGCTCCAAATTTCAACCCTAAGATCACTGACTGACATTTAATTGCAGTTCAAAAGAAATGTAAATGGAAAACTACCACAATAAAATTTAGCTTTTAATATTTATTCATCTTTATCACCTGAATCTCAATACAACCTGTAAAACAAGTTTTCTTGGCCTGGAATACTTGCTGAAATAAGATAACAATGGCCAGACACTCTAGAAAAAAAACAGGACTCTAAATAAATTCTTCTAATTTGTGCTCTAGTGGCTTAAGCAATATCTCTCTTTATCTTGGGAACTCAATGCAGAATATGATTACTCTGTAAATGTATAGAGTAAATAATTTTATTTTTAGAAAAGCTTTGAAAACTGTAAAATTTAGTAAGCAATGTCTTTAATTACATCTCAACTACACAGACAGCATCACCCGCAATGTAACTGTCAATAACTTCTTATCTTGCCATAACATAATCCCAAACATTTGAGGAACAAATTACCTAAGCCCCATAAAAAAATCAATTTTTTTACAATTTTTTCAGCAAAGTATACACACAGACATTTATAAAACACAATGATTTAAAATAAGAAAAATTAGATTATCCTTGACATTGTTATATAACATCAAATAAAAATGAAATTTTAGTGATTAAAGACTGTTATTTTCAAAATGTCAGTCATAAGCAAATTTTAAAATCTTCCTTACTAATGAAGACTTGGCAGGCTATATAATATACCATATTATTTTAAGTAATTATGATTAATACATCTTTCAGCCAAGAGGTTTAAGAATGACAAGTTAGTTTTAGAAAAACATTTAAAAATCCTGTTTTCCTAAAGCAAGCACAGAATACCTCATTAGCCTTAACTCCTTAAAACTCAAAAAGCAAAATCTTTAGAGAAGGGCTAGTCAACATTTATAGTTTTTCATTGTTCTTTCATTAAGCCTAGAACATGTAATTAGTTGATATTAAAGAAGTGAAAAAAAAATCCACATGTCTATAATCTAAAGAATAGCCTAACATGAGTACAATTTGTATAATTTAAAAGTTACCTGAATAGAGAACAGTTTTCCACTTTTCTCAGGGCTCAGAGCTGAGAACAGAGGCAACGGATCATTAACTTTTAGCCAGAAGCAAACGTGCACACATACCTCAAGAGACTCTGTGCTTTTCCCTTCCCTCTCTCTTCTCTCAAATAGGGGAAAGGTAGCCCTCTCTTTTCTTGAAGAACATGCTTTGACAGGCACAGTGAGTTCATACTTTTCACTGGGTAAAGTTAACTTGGCTTAAATTATATCCTGGGTCAAAGAAGGTAACCAAGTCTGTCAATTTGAACTGCTAAATTTAATCTTCTAATTCTTTTTCTCTGAGTTGATATCATGTAAAATACACATTTTCAAGTGTATTTACCACCATGTGATTTCATATTATGTCTGGAACACACTGCAAAAGTCCTATAATATATAAATTAATGTGCCAGTGAATCTTCACTGAGTCTAGGACTAGATAATTCAGTAAGGTATGAGCAATAATAAAGAGGCCAAGGTCAGGGGCATCTGGGTGGCTCAGTCAGTTAAGTGTCTACCTTCTGCTTAGGTCATGATCCTGGAGTCCTGGGATCAAGCCCTGGGAGCCCCGGATGGAGCCCTGTGGCAGGCTCACTGCTCAGCGGGAAGTCTGCTTGTCCCTCTCCCTCTACCCTCCCCCCTAGTCATCCCCCTCCCTGCTCATGCTCACTCATGTGTGAGCTCTCTCTCTCTCAAATAAATAAAATCTCTTAAAAAGGAGAGAGAGACCAAGGTCATGTGTTGAATTCCTCGAGGAGCAGTTACCTTCCTTTTGTTGCCTAATTATAAATCACACTATTTGACCAGCCATTCTGTAAATGCATCATGCCCTCTGTCAAGAAAGGGTGACACTCTTACTGAACTAAGAGTGTGGCAGTGATTCTGATGGTGGGTCAGTGTTGCCATCTTTGTATTTGAAGAAATATACTAACCTTTAGAGAAATGAAGAGCTATCATTTACTGGGTGTTTTTCATATGCTAGGTAGTATTTTACCAAATAATTTATATCCACAACCTCATGCTCTAAACCATGTAATATAGACATTATGATACATACTTATGAGGACATTGAAGCTCACAGTTTTGAATACTCCTATATAAGGCCATTTGGCTGATAAATAATGGGTCCTGGATTCCAATTTTAGTTTGGATCCAAATCCCCTCCACCGAATAGGAGGCCATCCTTCCTATCCATGGTCAGTAGGTGAGGGGAATTTGATTCCCCATGTAAAAGATTTCAATATTGAGACCTAGGCACTAAGCGATAGCTAGCTGTAAAATATGCTGCCCAAATATTTTAATTATTTAGTTAGTTAGTTAATTTTAAGTAGGCTTCACACCTAGCATGGAGCCCAACATGGAGCTTGAACTCAGAACCCTGAGATCAAGACCTGAGCTGAGATCAAGACCTGAGCTAATATCAGGAGTCCATTGCTTAACTGACTGAATCAACCAGGAGCCACCCAAATATTTTATTAGGCTGATTTTCTAAATGCATATACTGGTTACAATAACCAAGTAGTAACATAAATAGTTTCTGGACCGGGGCGCCTGGGTGGCTCAGTCGTTAAGCATCTGCCTTCGGCTCGGGTCATGATCCCAGGGTCCTGGGATCAAGCCCCGCATCGGGCTCCCTGCTCCGCGGGAAGCCTGCTTCTCCGTCTCCCATTCCCCTGCTTATATTCCCTCTCTCGCTGTGTCTCTCTCTGTCAATTAAATAAATAAAATCTTTAAAAAAAAAAAAGTTTCTGGACATTTCCTCTAATTTATTTAATGAAATAAAGCAGATGTCTTTACATAATATGACATGTGGTAAAATAGTTAAGAAATTTTGCCTAATACAATATTAGATAAACAGTGAAGCTGTAATACACTGAACGAATTATACTATAGATTTCACAATTATGTAGTATATCTGATGATCAAAGCAGAGAACATCTTTACTGACAACTCTTCAAATACCTTCATTCCAACACAGCAGTGTTTAGAAGCTAGCAAATGTTCAATTATATTTATTTGGGGTAAAATTACCTGATGTGATATAGGTGATTAATCAATTAATAATAACTTCATTTTGTACTCTATAGATATACCTCAAAGTAGATTATTTTTCAAAGCAGTGGAAGAATAAAATTTCAACAAAATCATGTGCTTTATCAACAGCTTTTATATATAGCAAATATAACAATAAGACTCAATTTTATGCAAAGAAATGATTATTAACTTTAAGTAAGCATGCTGTTAATTATACTGAGAATGCTACATTTAAAAAGCTCTTAAATGTATAATTAATATTTTCCACTTAGTATTATTTCTAAAGTTAAGCAAAATGAGAAACACAAACATATATCTAAGTTTGATATGTAAAAATTATGTCATCAAGAAAGTAACATAAGGTCTAGAAAGATTAGAATTGGAAGGAGGCTGTACAATATATTTTGTACTTATTTTGTATGATTTTGCTTATTGTTATCACAATATTAAATCCTTGAAAAATTACAATTCAAGCGATAGAACCCATGGTGTGTTAACTTAATAGAGTCCGTTGGAAAAATTTAAAGAGCTCTTAATTATAAATAATATATTTGCTTTCTCAATGTAGAATTTATTTTTCTTCATATAAGATATTTCTCCTAAATTATTTTATCATCTCAAATATGCATTTTAGCAGATCTACCAAAAAGTCAAAATTACTTAATTTAAATTAGTGTTTGCTGAAGTAGAAAAAATGGCAAATATAATTAATAGGCTTTAATATGCAACTTTGGACACCTAAGTAATCACAGTATAACATTCAACAATTTGACTCTTTTTTTAAATGAGAAATGTATCTTGGTTAAAGCACAGAGAAATCATGTTATTAAAGCTGAACAACTAAGTTCTGTGGGGTGTGAGATAAATACAGACAGTCGTGTTTGCTACATAAACCTTTGAGAAAAGAAAAGCCTCATGCAAAACAGACTTGTTCATCATGAGCCCTGGGGATAAAAACGGCTGAAGGTGACTAACCTTTGTCAAGGTTACAAATTCTCAAGAGCAATTTCAAAAGTATGATAATGTGAGACTTTTTTTTTTTTAATTCCAGTTTCTAGAATTCTTCAATAATGTGGGGACAGTAGAGAGAGGAAATATATTCTCAGGGGAAAACCTTGATGAATAGCATGTGTGCTCTCGGAACAGGTTATTAATTCTGCATTTGAAACATGACAATAAGTTCTTGGCAATGAATTTATTTATAGCATTATTCCCAAGTTCCATGCAGCATTTGTACATTTCCCTTGTGAGATTTTGATGTTTTGTGTATTATGACTAAGGAGTGAAAACTGAATTAATGTGGAAAGCTCAAGTTTGTCATCTGAATAAAATGTGCAAGAAATTCCACAGAGCTGAAAGTTTGGGTATATACTTAGGGTGAGAAAAGAGAGCTAGTCAAAAGGAAAAAAAAAAAAAATCAAATACCTCCAAACATGATGGGAATCATTTAATGGATTGCTTTTCTCATCTGAATAAAACTTTTTTTCTTCTTTTTTTCCTGGAAAGAGTAGCATAACCTGAACACTCATTTTGCACAACTGATTGTGATCCTATTATATTCTGAATTCCAGAATTATAACAGAGTTAAAAGAGCACATAACAGAAGAAAACAATCCTGAGTTAATTATCCCGCAGAGTTACAATGTAAAAAGGAATCTTTTTTTTTAACCTTGATATGCATAAAAGGGAAAAAGTCTTCAGTTAAATTTGCTTTCACAGAATAATCCCTTTAAGGTTTCAACATGCTGCAGGAAAATATAATGGAAGCAATGTGGTCCTAAACACAAAATAGACAAGTATTCTACCATTTCAACAAACTTCCCCCTTTTTGTTGACAAGAGTGGCTCACTAGTTGAACAGAAGTATTGGAAGAGTGATTTGTGTACATGGAAACATTTAAGACCCTTCCTTCTTTGACTGTCATCCAGTCAATAGAAGATCCTACCATATTCAGCCAATCTAGGAAACATGTTCAGAGAAAGAGTGCTTTAAAAATACCTTTCGAGTCCCTGCCCTTCGATTCCACTCAACTCTCTGCCATTCCCCTCAGCATGCACTGGGATCTCACAGCTTTCTATTAAATATCCCAGCATCCTGCCAGGGACTCAGCTCAAAGTCTCAGAGTCAGCAACAGTGTCTCCCTTTCTCTATCTGCCTCAAGGACTTAAGTCTATCTCCTTTTCTTCTTTCCCACAAGAACCATTTAATTTCAATAAATTTGGTAGCTTTCCTATTGTTATCCCAGCATCCAATCTACTTGACTAAAGCCGCAATAACTTTGTCTAAATTATACAGCTAATATAAGCTCAGACCATGGCACACTCCTAGTCAAAACTGGTCAGTAACTTCCTGCCTCCCTTTCCCAACACTGACACACCACAGCCATCTATATGTGTGCATACACACACACACACACACATACACGCACACGGATGTGCACACACACGAATACCAGGGGACAGGTTATAAAATAATATGATCAAGTGTGTAGTTTCCATCTATCACTATAGCCAATAATACTAACATTGGTGTTTTAATTGTGCTCTGGCTTTTCACTGCCATTAGTAAATTAGAAGCCGTTAATTCTCTTGGTTTTAAAAATACTACAGAGACATTAGACATTAACAAGATACAAATAAATGGAGTTTAAGGCAACACTCCATCTACTGGCCCTGTCATACCTCACCAGGTATGAGATTCTTCCACACCTCAAAATAAGTTTATATCTTTACTAAAAGTTAATAAAAACCTTAAAATTTTTGAGTTATTTTATTTCATTTTTAAAAAGATTTTATTTTTAAGTAATCTCTACACCCAGCATGGGGCTCGAACTCAGAACCCTGAGATCAAGAGTCACGTGCTCTACTGAGTCAGCCATGCACCCCTTAAATTATTTTAAATGGAAGTATAAAACCTTCAAATGTTGATGCAATGGAATATAGATAAGAAAAGTAGAATGGTAGGGCGCCTGGGTGGCTCAGATGGTTAAGCGTCTGCCTTCGGCTCAGGTCATGATCTCAGGGTCCTGGGATCGAGTCCCGCATCAGGCTCCCTGCTCCTTGGGAGTCTGCTTCTCCCTCTGCCTTTCTCTCTCACTCTGTCTCTCATGAATAAAAAAAAAAAAAAAAAAACCTTAAAAAAAACAAATAAACAAACAAACAAAAAAACAAAAAAACAAAAAAAAGAAAAGTAGAATGGCTATGACCAAAAAGACCAGAAATAAATGCTGGAGAGGATGTGGAGAAAAGGGAACCCTAGTGCACTGCTGGTCGGGATGTAAAGTGGTGCAGCCACTATAGAAAACATTACAGGGGTTCCTCTAAAATTAAAAATAGAACTACCATGTGATTCAGTAGTCCCACTTCTATGCATATATATACCT